ACTCCTGATCCCCGCTAGTGGGTGTGTAGCATCCCTGATCCCCGCTAGTGGGTGTAACGCTAGCACTCCTGATCCCCGCTAGTGGGTGTGTAGCATCCCTGATCCCCGCTAGTGGGTGTACGCTGGCACTCATGATCCCCGCTAGTGGGTGTAACGCTAGCACATGTCGACATGTTTACTGATATGACGCCTGCCACTGGGCGAATACATTGGCAAATTTTTGTCGCCTGCCAGTGGGTTGTTATAACACTGGCCATGACTTATAGATGAGACTACTAATGAGATTTATTCTGCATGAACGGTTTGTCATGAAACACTGTTATTGAACTGAATCTGATTTTGCATTGACGGTTTTGTCGTTGAACGTTTTGTTATTGAACCGAATTTGATTTCCGCATTAACGGTTTATCAGTGAAAGTTCTCTTATGGTTACATGGTTTATCTGGCATGTTAAAAGTTTTACCAAGGGCTATCCATATTTACTTACTGAGATATTTTATCTCATAGTTTTCCTTGTCCACCATTTCAGGAAACGAAACCGAGGACGGGGAAATCAAGGGGAGTGACGAGTTAGAAGGCTAGCCATTTTGTAAAGTGAATATAGATTTGAGATATAGATCATGATCTTGTAAACAAAAGTTTAATTGGAGATTTTATAAATTCAGTTAATGGATTGTTAGTTACAAGAGATTTGACCTGGAGATTTTGAGGTTAAGTCATATGGACATAGAAAAGAAATTTTGAAATATCCGATCTGAGTTACGGGATTGTCAGATGTGAATTGAATAAGTTTCGAGCCTTGTGCATTTGTGGGACCCGTCTCACGAGTGCACGGCGTCTGTCACGCCTCGGATTCGGGTTCTGGGGCGTGACAGGGATTTTGTAGAATTACAACTTGACAAAATATGAAATATGTGGTGATGGAATTAAAAATGTCCATCATTTGTTCCAACTGTCAAGTCGGCTATACCTTATAGAGAAAGTATTTGAAGTAGCGAGGGGTTTGTGTTCAATAATTGTCAGGGAGTTTTTTTGCCAACACTTGAGGTTAACCTCAAATAGAGGGTGAGAGAAGGGTGGGAACTATGAAGTAAAATGGTTTGTTTATGTATGGTCATTGTAGTTAATTAGGAATAACTATGTTATACAAATGTATTTGGAATTAATATGATCATCAGAGTTTAGAAATACCTCACATGCTCCAAATATTAATAAAAATCAACTTTTATTATTGAAAATAAATTGATAACTATAATTTTGATACAAGTAAAATATTATTATTTTATTTTTACTTGAATGAGTTCTTCCTATTTTTATTTGATAGATATTTTATTCTTCTATTAATATATGAGTAAAATTGTAGAATAAAAAAATCCCACATCACTTAAAAATAAAAAGTAAAGCTTATCAACAGTTTATATAAAAAAATGCCCAGATCCCACATCGCTTAAAAACAAAAGGTATAGTTTACAAATACCTTATATGACTGAATGCTTTTTTAGAAAGGGACATGTTAGGTGTTGCTTTTTTGCGACACTGATTAGT